GATAATTTTCCGGGTTCTTGGCCTTGATCTATCCTGAATCCGCCGAAATGGGGGCGAGTTATACAGCCCTGCTTTGAATGTCGTGTAACGTAAAACTTGTTACAGCGTAAACTTGCAACACTACAATGCAAAAAAAAAAACACAATTTTATTATCGTTATTAGTTCGTGAGTATTTAAACAAAAATTTGGTACGTAAGTATTTAGTTAAAAACAATAACCCACTAAGCAATTTACAATTTTCTGTCAGTAGGTACCTAGAACCATAACAAAACTCTATGCGTATTCACAATGCGGTTTAATGAATCCCCGGAGTCTTTACTACCTGAAACCACAGGACAGGATTTATCTAAGCAATTTATCGCAGGAATCAATAAGTTTAAATCACAGATGAAAAGAAGTAAGTTCGTCTTCAGGACTTGATCCAAGTGGTTCATCAAATTTTAGGAATTGATCAAGTAAATTTGTCAATTGGTGATCTTGATGAAGAGAATACACGGAATGAACTGCCAAATAATACTATAACTGCCGAAGATGAACCACAAAATGTCAACGTGGATAAAAGTATTGGTCAATGTAATTCATTGACTATCAAAGATGTAAATATTGCTGATTGTGGTTCGCCAAACGCTGATGAAGATCACCGACATAAACAAAACCTTGCGTATCCGAATAGGCCGTTAATCAATTCTATTCGTAATCACAATCGTCGACTTCGTAAAAAGTGGACCAATGAAGAATTACAGGCGTTGGAAGATGGTATGAGAGAATATGGGACGCATTGGGTTCAAATATTAGAAAAACATGGGTCGTCTAGTGGTCCTTTGAGAAATCGCACTCAAATTCAACTCAAGGACAAAGCGCGCAATGAAAAGCAACGACGAATGAAGGCAGGAATGGATGTAGGTGTTTTTGCTCAAGCGTCTGGTTAAGAATTAAACTCAATAAATCTATTGTAAAAAGAAAAGGCCGAAATGGTCTTACTATGATAATTCATTAAACAATTAGAAAAAGCAACTAGCTAATCACATCTTATGATATACTCTATTAATTATTGAAAATTACTTGTATTGTCTCAATATTGCCAAGTAGAACATAAATGAAACTTTACCATTAGGGTTATGGTTAGATCAGAGTTGGGGGGTATGGTTTCCTGTAACAATTTCACACTAGCGTAACGCGTGATCACGTGATAAGAGGCATGTTAAATTTTGGGTCTGGGTCAAAATCCTGACCAACAGAAACCCAACCAAATCCCCGCTAACATGTCGAGATTCTGACCCATACCCGTTAAAATTGACAGGGCATAGGATCGGAAAAGTCTCCGGACACCTCCCAGTTTATGT